ACAATCTACTTTGTCCCATGACTATGAACCTGAACCTATTTCGGTCAGGCAGGGATTCTTAGACACCTTTCCCTGGTATTAGAGATAGTTTATAAGAACTAATCACCAGGTCCTGCATATATATTACCTCATTCACTTCTAAAAAATACCCCATTAAGATATCGTGATTTTACCTAAGGCTCAGAAAGGTTAGGTGACCCTGTCTTGCTTGGGATCACATAGGTAAGTAGCAGAGCTAGATTGGAATCCAGTTGGACTTATTGCCAAGCTCATGTTCCTGCCCCACCCCTACAAGGGCCCCATTTGTTCCCAGTGACCCTTTTGCAGTGACTCCAGGGAGAATCAATTAGCAAGTTGGAGATCCTAACAACAACAAAAAGTCAACCTTTATGTTTGTAAAACTTAAAGACCCACATTTACCACAGAAAAGCACATGTCTCTAACTTACCTTTAAAACTCCTCTCTCTGAATAGTCCAACTTTATGAAAAAGGATGCTTAGGCTTGGTGAATGCAAAACACTATATCCACCGTAGGGGCAAAAGTGCAATGCCCTTCCTCACCCATCCTCAGGGTCACAGCTGACCTACCTACAACAAACGGCGGGTGAGCAAGAGAAAGCAGAGCATATCTATTTAATCCAAGTTTCCACAACATGAGAGCCTTCAGAGTGAAGGCGCAAAGACCCAAGGGACAACTGTCCATTGCTAAACTTAGACTCCATGAAGACTGGACAGCAACATGATCCAACAAAAAAGAAAAGATCCAATAGTAACAGACTATCGGGGAAACCCCGCAGGCCTTCAGCTGCAGTTCTCCATGGCCCCTCTGTGTGACATTTCCTGCTCCCAAGTATGGGGCAGGACCCATCTGGCATGCAGATCTTAGGACCTGCTAGCAGACAGAGTAGGTTAGAGAATTTATTTTATGACCAGCTCCTACACAGAAAGGCCTGGATGAAAGGTGAGAGTCATATTTTAGGTTTTATGACCACTTTGGGGCAGAGGGATTCCCCTTTCTGTGACCTGCCTGTGGGAAGAGGAATTCTAGTTTCTATGGCTTGCCATGGGGGAGAAAGGAGAGTAGGAGAACAAAGAGTGGGAGCAGGTCAGACAGATCTTGCCTCTGAGGCCAGATTTGGTTTCCTTTTGGTTTCTTTCAGTTCAATGGGCTCAGCATGCCAAGGCACCATACTGTGGGGTGTCCTGTTCTGAGCCCTAAAATATTCAAGTGAACACAGGAGTGGTAAATGTATTGGGGCAATTTAATGAAGTGGGATCTATTAGGATTGCATGGGAGGAGGCTTCAGCTGGGTAGTGATGCATTGGCAGGATTTGCATAGGAAGAGAGTCTGCATAAAGGCATTCCTGGTGAATTCACGGCACAGCCCTTCTAGATGGGTAGAGAATCAGGAAGAAGGGTGCTAAGGGGCCATTGAATATACACAGAGGGGCTGCATCTATGTCGGCTCTGGAGCTGCCATCAGATGGGAGGAGAAACTGGGCTTATCTTCAGGAAAAGCAAGCTTACTGTCTTCACTTTTAGATTATTTTCCTACCTGAAGTGGATTTGAGGGGCTAATGGACATTATGGAGAGAACTGAAGCCTCCCTCTTCTATCCCAAAATAACCTACTCTCCCTTTGGTGGAACAACTGAAATCAGAGGGACAGACGAGAAGTACTACAGAGGACAAGCAGAGCAATTCACCCTTCTACCCTTCTTAAAGTATCAGAGAGGGGGGCACTGTAGGTTGTAGAAAACAGGTGTGCAGGAATTTAGGATTCAACCAGTAAGTCAGTGACCATTAGCCCCATTCCAGACTCATTGTCACATGTTAAGGCACAGGATACACCAGCACAGAGCTACCTCTGAGAGCTAGCATAGAAAGTGGATGGGTGTGGAGAGGACTCAGTGTGCCTACTGAGGCAAGAGACAGGGACATGAACTAGGAAGCTATTTTATGTATGCTGGTGTGAGACAATGAAGGCCAGACCTGGGCAGTGGGTATTACAGCAATGAGAATGAGGAATAGAGAGAGAGATGTTGCCAAGAAAGACCATTCAGGGCCTGGTACTGGATAGCAAAAGCAAGGACAAGTAAGACACCTCATAGGTTTACATGTTTTACCCCAGAGTCTAAGGCAATATGTAATTAGTGGTGCCACTGACAAAGACAAGGGAAGTGGAGCAGCAGCTGGCTCGTAAGAGAAGAGAGAGGATTTAGCTTTGGGCAAAGTGACATCAAAGCAGGAAATTCACGCTCAGGAATAGACCTGGATGAGAGGACACAACAAGAACAGACTGGAGGCCCTGATGAAGCCATCATCGCCTATACTTCTTGCCGTGTCCCTTCAACACTTCAACAGCTCCACCAAACCACCACTGCCATTTAGTGATAGCTTCTTAAAGCTTAAGGGCAGAAGAAACATCATGACCACATAAAAAGAAGATTTGGAAATAACTAATTGAAGCTATTTATTCAGATTAATGTATCAAATGACATAAAGGTAGGACATCTGAAAAGATGTGGAGAGCAGTGAGAATTCTGTGTAAGATATAAAGGTAGATATTACTTCTATTTAAAAAAGGGAAAAAACCTCTGGACTGCCACATGCTACTCACGTATTGCTTTTGGCATTTTTCAGGAAACTACAGCTGTGTTTTATTAGTCAGAGTTCTCTTGAGGGACAGAACTTATATATATATACACACACACACACACACACACGTTATATATGCATTATAAATGTTATATATATATGTTTATATATATATAAAGTGGAGTTTATTAAATATTAACTTACACGATCACGAGGTCCCACAACAGGCTGTCTGCAAGCCTGAGGAGCAAATAGGGCCAGTCCAAGTCTCAAAACTGAAGAAATTGGAGTCCGATGTTCAAGGGCAGAAGCAGGGCAGAAGCATTCAGCATGGGAGGAAGACGTAGGCTGGGAGGCTAGGCCTGTCTCGCCTTTTCACGTTTTTCTGCCTGCTTTATATTCGCTAGCAGCTGATTAGATGGTGCCCACCAGATTAAGGGTGGGTCTGCCTTCCCCAGCCCACTGACTCAAATGTTAATCTCCTTTGGCAACAGCCTCGCAGACACACCCAGGATCAATACTTTACATCCTTCAATCTAATCAAGTTCACACTCAGTACTAACCATCACGTGTGTATTAGTTAGTCTTAGATGTGCAAGAATCTGACTGTTCGGTCCTATCCAGGAAACACCGGAATGACTGTGAGCCAGCTGTTTCCAGACGTTCATCTGATACGCTAAGTGACAGGGCACCTTTACCCTGCTCTTATCGTTTTAACTTTCCACCTACTCTGCTCACTCAGGGCAGCCAATGCCTGAGCTAACACAGCAGAAGAGAAAGGGCAGCTTTTGCCTTGAGATTCATGAAGATGATGTTGACCTTGAGTAATACTAACTCAACTCGTTCCTGCGAACCCAGTTTGAGATACCCCAGCAGGGCTGTGGGCCCATGGAAGAGCATGACCAGCTGCGAGTCTTTGGGCAAATCACCTAATAACACCCCTTTACGCCAGTGTTTTTGATTGTAAAATAAGAAGAGGGGTTTGGAGTTCATGGACTCTAAGGCCTTCCGCTTCTGACTGTCTATGAGTATAAGAGTCCGACAGACGGAGCAGGACTTTAGAACTGTTTTGTACTGTGAATTACAGATGCTCTTTGAAGGAAAGAAATATCGATTCCAATGTTCTTTAGAAACTCTGGCAGGTATAAGCAGGACATGGTATAAGGAGGACATGGTATAAGCAGGACATGGACTGGAATGTATGCTAAGTGAAAGCAGACAAATTCTATTTCCTTACCTGAGCAAATATTTTCTTGAAACTGCTTATGTATGTCAAAGAAGCCCACAACTTCAGCTACACAGCTTTTTGTATCGAAAGAAATCATACTTTTTGTAGCTTTTATTTCACACTTAATTTAAAATGACTTTCAGCACTAAAATGCCTGGAAGATTTTACTCCAGACCTTTAAGGAAATGTTTAGTTTTTATGAAAAATGACAAGTCAGTGGTTAAACTTCTCATGTCTTTGGTGTTTTGGCCCTAATAGTACTGGACAACACCATGACCACATGGAAACATATTTTTGGAAGCAAAACTTTAATGTTATACAATGTATGCTATAGAGAGCTAAGAAAATTTATGCTATAGAGAGCTAAGAAAATTTATGCTATAGAGAGCTAAGAAAATTTAAGGACTACTTGTTTTCTTTATTTTTTTTTCTTAATAAAATGGAATCCACTAGGTTGAAGACTCTTGATATCATGTGCCTATCTAACCATGTTTTTGTTTTATAAATTAGAATAAAATCTAGTTGTGATCATGGTCATCAAATGGGCTTGTTTGGAAAGCTACATCTTTTTTGTGAAATGTTTTTTAAATCAGAGTAACCATAAACTGATTCATTCAGCTTTTCATTAGTTTGTTTTGTTCTTGGCTATAATACTTGTGACTCATGAAGAATTACGTTGACAAACAGGATAAATTCTACATGCATTTTATTTCCTAGTGAGTTGTATAAACTTTATTTTTGTTGAAAGTTGTATGTTAAATCAATATTACATTCTTATACTTGATTTGCGGTTTTAGGTATTTTCATCAGGTGGAAAAGCTACTTTTCGTGGCTTATTTTTATTCTTTCCCTAATTCCAACAGTAGTTGGTATCTGGAAAAAAGAAAAAGAAAACCAAATGAGTCCTTGTCAGGTCCTGCTGACTGCTGAGTCTGGAGGGATTGCGAAGTAGTGATACGCCCAAGGGCAAACTGAACTCCTGCAGAGAGGATAAGCTGAAGGGTGAGCTTCAGGCTTGCTAAAGGGGCAAATGCTAACCACAAGTTAGAAGAAAACATCCCCTAATTTACAGTCAGCCTACAGTGCAGAATATAGGCACCCTGCCCTCACCCCACCAGCAGCTTGTAACATCAACCACTTTCCTCCTCATCCCCTTTGTCTGGAGCAAAGTGATGTCTTTTTACACCTCCCTGTGAGGGTGTGCTCAGAATCAATCATGCACACTCGGGAACAGAGGACTTCAGGAAGGAGAGGACCCTCTGCAGAGAAACCCACCCCCTTATAACTTATGTCTCAGCCTTTTAGAGAGGAGTGGGTAGGCTATGAGAAGAACCCTACATGTGAGAGCCAGCAGGGACCTCAGACAACATCTAAGTCCAGTTCTGCCTTTAACAATAGAGGAGCCAGTGATGCCATGTGGCTAACATTTAACATTTAACATTTAACATTTAACTAACATTTAACTAAGGTGACATGACTTGCCTACTGACAAGCCTGGAACTAGAACCCAAGCCTCAGGCTCTTTTCATAAAGTTTGGAGGAAGAGAGAGGAGACACTTCAATCTGGAGGTCTCAACAGTCATTAGAGCCTGTTGGGTAACCTTGGCTAGGACAGGAATAAGGTTTAACAGAGAAATATTGTAAGTGTTATCCAAAGGGGACCAGGAAAGAAAGGAAAAAGTAGAGACTCAAAGAGGAATTAATAAAGAGAGAGAGCAGGTATTGTAACCAAGGCCCAACTTATTGTCCCTAATTCTCTGAAATTGATTCCACACCTACTTACACCTTAAGTCATTTCCAGAAATATTCTCAATATCTAGACCAATGAATTTCAAAAGTGGAAATTGAAAAAGATTATATTTTTACTAGGTTCTCCTTCCCCTCCCAGTCTTTTTTTTCCCAATGTACTTTTATGGGAAAGATTTCTTTTTAGTATTTTATGCTAGTTTCAAGAATGGCATAAGGAAGTACATGTATACAATCACTTCCTGAGTTTCAGTTTGGATTTACTATTATACTCTCTTCAGGTGAATGAGACTTAAGAGTTCTCTTAAAGGATTTTACTGAATTATAACAATTGACCAAAATAAAGTTTTCATATTGTAGTGCTAGACCCATTAGTGAACTGTGAAATTTATGTGGGGAAATGTAAACTGCATGTTTTATTTTACAAGTTAAAAGGAAAATACTAAGTTTCATTATGTGTGATAAAAGGAGAAATTATTTTCTGCATGCTTTGTTTAAATGTATTAATTATTTCTTATTTTATCTTGTATTCAAAAGAGTTTGAGCAAGAGTGCTTCAAGTAGAGAGGTCTAATCCATCCATTTTCTCTTTTTTCTCTTGTTTTTTTTAAACCACATCATACAAACGGTATTGTTGAGATGAGAACAAAAATCTCATCAATGACTGATGGATATTTAGCCTTTTCTAAGAAGTAGTCACACATCTGGGGCACTTCCATGTTGATAACCTGAGATCATAGTAGATCAAAAGTCCTAGTCATCTTTAGCTGTGTATTAGAATCACATGGGAGCTTTTGAAAGCCAGTGATGCCCAAACCATGCCCAGAGCAGTTAAGTGAGAATCTCAAGGTGTCAGTTCAAGGATTTCATGTTAAATGAAATCTCACCAGGTGCTTATTGCATGGCAGCAGGATTTAGAGATACCGAATGTAGCAGCCCAATTCCCCATCATTTTCTTTCCATTCTCCATTTCTCTCACAATTAGCTTCATTCTCAGTGGCTCTATGGACTTTATTCTTCCTTCTAATTATTTCAGTTAAATTACTCTCTTGTCAACTGGGCTAATCCAAGACACAGATTGTCCTCTATTATTGTCTACCATCCTGGGTATTCATAAAGCTGGACCCTAGACTCACTTTTCCCAAAGTTGGATTATAAAATGCTCATTTATGTTTCCTGGCCTCAAAATTCACCTGAGTTGCATTTAAATCAGAAATTTTTAAAGGGAGATTAGGATGCACCTCATGATCTGTGCAGTTCTGAAGTACTGCCCTCTGCATCTACTTTTGGACTGATTTCCCTTTAGGGTGCCATAAATGTCCTCCAGTTTATGTCAGCTCAAATGAGTCCATGAGGTGCAGACACTGAGTCCCTGAAAACTCCATTCACGTTGGCACTAGGCTGCACATCTGACTAAAGGGCGAAGACAAACATGACTCCAGGCCAATAGGGAATGCCCACCTGTCACCCAGGTTCTAATTTAATTTCTAATTGGACTTCTTTGTGCTCAGTTTTAACACTTCTCATTCACATGTATAAGGTGAGGATTAAGGGTTGATTTCGTTGGGTTGCTCAGAATCAGACCCAAGAGGAAAGTCTA